GCCTCACTTCTGAGATTAAAAAGGATGTGCTAGAAGTTGCTCACCAAATCTTTTTAGTGCCAAGGCAAGTGATTTTTGGTAAAGATGGAAACCACAACAAACAGGTTTCTCTAGGCTTGGTAATGTTTTCTGTCTTCAAAGTATGCCAAGCCACACATCTATCCCAATCTTAAGAGATATGTTCTCATTGTTCGTAGCTATATATAGTGCACATTGTGCCTTCAAGAAAAGCTTTCTTGAGTCCCCGACTTCTTAAATTACAATTCGGTCAGAATGTATTTTTTGAAAAAAATCCCAGAAATTGTAAATGGTTCTCAAAACAAAGAGTGGGAGCTATAGAACTTGAATTATAGCCTCAAGCTCCTACTCCTTGTTTTGAGAACCATTTCTAATGTCTGGAGTTACACTGCGATGAATTATCCTGCCCTATTCTGGATCACCTTTCTAGGGGCCTTCTTACAAAATTCTGTAAAATTAGGAAGCTTAGAGTGTAATGGCAGGTGGAAACAGTACTCTGGAAGGCCAGGTTATAGTTCCTCCGAATTTAAAGTAACTAGTGGAGTTTTACCCCATTTTTTCATAAAAGACCACATTTTATTATTGTATTCAATTCTGCTACGTGACTTTAAAATGATTAGATGACAGATGCATGTATCCTGATTTTGTTTTCTCAAGTTTGTCACCCGTGTCTATGACAATCACTCCTCTGTATTGCCTGTGTTTCCTTCTTTACCATCTGAATCTTCAGGGAGAGCCTCTTTCACAATTAAGAGGTTAAAATGATGCTGTCAGTGTTCTGCCCTATAAGAGCCAGAAGATTTTGAGAATCCTCATGTCTTTCTATTGCATGTGAGGAGAGGTCCAAAAAAGAATGTAGTTGCACAACCAAAATATGTAAAAGAATAATGCACAGTATTGAAATCTGCTGTAAGAAGACAGAAATTTGAGTCCCAGTAGGCCACAAAGATCATTTCATTAAAGTTAGGAAGGCTTTCAAGGCTTGCTTGTGCAAGATTTCTATTTCACATATTTGAAAGGCTACCTTGGTCTCTGTACTTGGAAAAATTGCATTACAGAGATCCATGGTCACAATAATCCTTTGTCCACCCTGACCTTTTTTACAGGTTCCCTTGGTGTGCAATTATTAAGATACATATTTCCATTACTTTTAATGTCAGATGATTGCATAGTAACCATTAACACTTCCCATTTAGTCAGCATAAATATTTAGCTAAATTAGAGGCTAGCTATAGGCAGGGAGCAAAAGTTTTGCTACCTGTACAATTGCCATATTTTTTCCATAGCTTCCCTGCTCAAGAGTATGGTACAATGCCATTGTCTCAAACACACTTAGAGAAATGAGTATATTGGCTTTATCTCCTTGAGAATGTTGTCACTATTCTCGAGTCTCTATATGGGAATCTGTAGTGACAATTTCATGAAGACAGCTAGACTGCCTACTAGTAATAATTTTTTCTGAATATATTGCCCCTAGAGAACCATACTCACCTTCCACTTGAATGGATCATTCTTTGGAATTTTTAGTGTTCCAGACAGGTTGGCAGAAAAGTAATGGTATGGGGCCTTTTTTAGATAAGTTCTCAGAAAGATACAGTGCCTATGTCATGGTTTGCCAGATGTACCATGTTCACTCTTATTCATTTCAGAGTTAAGCTCAAATTGATAGTTTTGGCTCTATCATTTAGAGATTGGTTCTGAAACTGTTTCTGAAAATGCCTGATTTTACTGTCTTTACAACTGCATTTCCAGGTGCAGGGGGGCATTCCCTATGGAAGGCCACTGTCTCAGGAGTTCACTCTTCCTTCCATTGGAGCGTATGTTCCATCAAACCTTATGGTACAGCGCAACACCTATCTTTTTATCTGTACTTGTTAGTTCAGTTTGTACTTGTGTAATCTTATGTTTGCCAGCCAGCTTATGATATGGATGATGCTAGCTGTAAACATTCCTAGAAGCTAACAGTTTGATCCATGGTGTTGCGGTGCTCCCTCCTGCACTGGGTCCCACCCGCTGTGCTACGGAGGTGGCTCCTGCCTGAAGCTAGTCTGGCCTGGCTGCAGCCCTGCACTCCCCTGTGGGCACAGAAATCTGGGGGGGCATGTGCCCTCCCCCGACCCTCCCCCATGAGTCTTCTGTGCCCCCCACACACTTCTCTGGAGGGAGCTGCTTTCCACCACCCTCCTTAGCTGCCACGTCCATGTGTACATGCGAACATGCAGGTGGTGCCCTCTGTCCCCTGCATCCTACTCCCCACAGCCCCAGGCAGCAAGGTATAACTCTGCAAGCCTGCAAGGGGAAATCTGTAGTTTCCTAAATCCATTATTTTCTCCTTTAAAGGAGAAAATCTTTTTTTTCCATGGCAAATTGAAAACCCAGATCCCTGGTGATATCTTACATTCTGATATGTCAGCATTTGGTAAAAATATAATTTTCTTTCCCCCTACCCTGGAGGACAAAAGGCTAAATGCTCTCCTGAGTTAGACTCATAAACTTTGGCATAGTCATTTACAAACTGCATTTAACTAGGCTACAGCATGTTCTATTTCTATATTTTCAGATCCAAGTGAAATTTCCAAATTTTCTTTTCTCTCCCAGGTTCATGATCTACTTAGTGACTTTAGTAGTGTTATCTGAACATTTTTACCTTTAGGAACTCCAAAATTATGGACAGGTCAGCAGCATTAGAATATGGTAGATGGGTTAAATGGGTATAACTGAGAACAGAATCTGGCTCACTTCAAATTTTTTCTCTGTTTGTTTGGCATGAAAAATACAAACAAGTTTATCACTGTTCTGATTGATATCCATCCTCTCATTTTTCTAGATGGATTTTTTTGCTTAACCTTTTGTCTCTCTCAGCCAAAAAAAACCTCTTCTTAAAGCAGACTTTTTATTTAACTTCTGTCAATATTTCTTCCATAGCTTCCCTGTTCAAGAGCATTGTGCAATGCCATTGTCTCAAACACATTCAGAGACATGAGTATGTTTGATTCAACAACATTCTCTTCTGGGTACATCCCAATTTCCCATGCTATATATATTTTTCAGTTACTTACCATTGCCTTTGTTGCATGATATTTCTGTGCTCTGCCTCTAGTTCAATTAACCTACAAGTTCCTGAAGCTGGGTATTCTTCTCTGCTATCACATATTCATTTATTCTGAATCCAAACCACCAGTGTCATCAACAAACCTCTCCTATTTACTCATCTTTTAGTGAACAGTACACATTTTGAGGTGTAGTCTATTTTTACCACTGCAGTCTAAATAATGGACAGTAATGTTTTTTCTCACAACATCCTGGAGCAAACAATCAAAAACCTTTGGCTCTTGATGTACTGGGTAACATTTACTCCCAAGGTTCAGTTTCTGTTTGTTTAAAAACAAATACTTAAGTCTTCTTGGCTTTCAGTGAGAAACTTGTTTCCCAGGTTCCTTTGCTGATTTGAGAACATTAGAAGAACTACCTTGTCTTGCATCTTAGAATCATAGAAAATTAGGGTTAGAGCCAACCTCCTGCTCAAAGACGAATTATCCCCAACTGTATCATCCCAGCCAACGGTTTGTCTAGCTGGGTCTTAAAAATCTCCAAGTGTGGACAGTCCACAACCTCTCTAGGTAACCTGTTCCAGTGTTTTACTACCCTTCTAGTGACAGTTTTTCCTAATATCCAACCTAAACTTCCCTTGCTGCAACTTGAGACTTTGCTCTTCATTCTGTCATCTGCCACCACTGAGAAGAGTCTAGCTCCATCCTCTTTGGAACCACCCCTCAGGTAGTTGAAGGCTATAATTAAATCTTCTCTTCTGATAACTTGCTAAGAATGGTTCATGAACCAATAATGTTCAGATTATGTGATGTTTTACTTTTATCTTTCTTTTTAATCCTTACTTTTAAAGGATTATTATCCTTTAAAAATAAATACGGTTTAAAAATGTTACTGTAAAATGGCCAATTTGCCTGGCTTATTGAGCTGTGAGAATATGGTATGGCTTTTACGGACTAAATCAGGGCTGTCAATCTGGCAGCCCACAGGCTTCATGTTGTCCCCCAGGGTTTCACCTGCAGCCTATGGGCTCCCGGTATGAACACCACACCCCCTATCATTGTCCTGCTACTGTCACCAGACTCTCCAGGCTTCCCATCCCTGCTCAAGCTTCTGGTATCTTCCCTGGCTGCCCACAAGGCTGAGGGAACCTGGATCTGGAAGTTTGGAGGGACCTAGGGACTCCATGCAGTGCAGAGCACTGAGGAAGGAGGTCATGCAGCATGGCATGCAGCATGAGGCTGTCATGGCACAGCATGTAGCCCAGGGGAATGGCTGGGGTCCTGGGGCCTCTGTCCACTCAGAAGATGAACATAAATCATTAACCTTTCATCATATGGAATTTATATACAGTAAAATCTCTGTTATCCGGTAGTTCACCAACCGGAATACCTTATTAACCAGAATTTTGGCACTGTGCCATGCCACGCTGAAAGCAGTGGGATGCACACAACGCCACCCCATGCCGCTTTGCCTCCTGCTGCAGCGCTGAAAGCAGCGGGACACACATGGTGCCTTGTTGCATTGCTTTGCCTCCTGCTGGGGGGGAGAAGCTCACACACGGCAGCAGCCACCACCACCCACCACCCTGCGCTGCTGCCACTCTGTGCATGGCTGCCGCCACCCCCCTCCTAATTCCCCCCCCCCCCCCCCCCCCCCCCCCTGCGCCCCTGCCACTCTGTGCATGGCTGCAGCCACCCCCTTCCTAATCCCCCACCCCCTCCCCGCCAGCTCTGCGTCCAGCCGGAAACCCTGTTCCTCATGCAACTGGCACTTCTAGCTTACCAGCACCCCCTATTCCCCACTCACGCCAGATAACAGGGATTTTACTGCATTTGCTTTGTAGAAGTTAGTAGTAGTATATTTTAAAAACTATCAGTGTAAAAATGAATTGTCACAAACCATTATAAAAATATTCTGGATTTTTTTTTCAGGTTTTAAGTTACATTCGTACAGAATGGGACCCACTTGATGCTAGCTTTAGTGCTAATCAGTCTTACCAAGTGCACACAGTAGAGCATTCCATCTCTGCAGACAAAGAGCCTATGGCTGACAGTTGCACTTATGAATATGTTAAGAACAAAATACAGTGTGTGGCAGTCACCAGAATACCACTAAGATCAAAGGCCATCACCTGCTGCAGAAACATTGCAGAAGACAAACTGATCCTTGGCTGTGAAGATTCTTCCATAATTCTGTACGAAATCCAGCAAAGAGTGACTCTGTTAGCTCAGGCAGAACTATTGCCTGACTTAATAAGCTTCCATCCCAGTGGTGCCATATTTCTTGTTGGCAGCTCTCAAGGGGAACTGCAGCTTTTTGACACAGCACTATCACCGATCAAAATGCAGCTTTTGTCAGAAGAGTGTTCACCCATGGCAACTTTGCAGTTCAGCAAACAATTTGATGTGTCAAGTAGTCTTATCCAGATTCAGTGGGCAGCTCCTCAAGTTGCATTCCACAGCATTGATGGCACAGATGTTCATGATATTCTATTACTTAGATTTGACAATGGACCTATAGGAGTACTTCAGTTTAAATTCGGTAAGTCAGTGTGTGAGTGTATTGCATGTTATGGTATGTGAGTAATATCCAGATCTCACTTCTTTTACTTTGAAGGATAGCACTCAATTAAGTCTCAGAAACCCAGGTGCTCCAAGATATGTAGGTACCTAATTCCTAAATAATATACAAGATGTGAGCTAAAGTTGATTTGTTTCACATAAATTTAATGTTCCCTCATATGTCTTATAAAATGTTATCTTGCTCTAAGACTGACACTCATAAATGCTACCCCAGTACAAGTAAAAATAATTTCCATAGTTGAAAATTATTTATTTATGTCAGAATTACATAGTTATGGCTACATAAACATAATTTTCCACATTAAAAATTCTGCTATTTTGTTTCATCCATGAATGATGTGTATTTGTGTCTCTCACATTACAGTGGGTCTTGTCAAACATTTTATCAATATTTCAGCTTGTCATGTTGAGAGATATGATTATACCTGCCACAAACCTTTCTAATGTTCTTGAGTCCAGTATGTGCGGGCATTTATAGACATGCTCTGGGGGAGTAATTACCATGCTCCAGCAGACTCGATTAATCAAGTCTGCTTTGACGTATTGTAAATACAGAGCATTGAAATAGCCTCTCTGCATGTGTATAGAAGCCCTGTGAACAGCCCATTTAATTTCTTCAAGGCTCTTCATAAGAAGAAAAGTTTTATATATTTTGGGAAAATTTAGTCAATAAAATAACATACTCAGATTTGTGAGCCCGAATGGAATTAGTAACAGCAATATTTACCATATTTAGTGACAGTAATATTTACCATATTTACTTGAATACAAGACAAGGTTTTTGCCCCCAACCAACATGGGGGGAAAAGTTCCTTGTTTTACATTCACATATAAGGGAACCTCATTAAATAAATTGTCCATCTTTGAACTGCTGCTAAGTAATGGAAACCAACTGTAACCCTAATTTTTCATTTATAGGCTGCATGTCTGAGCCTGTGCCCACCCCTCCTCTCCACCTCACCCCCACTTGCAGCTGCCTGGAGCCCACACCTGGGCTGCCCAGCGGCCCTCTGCACTGCCACCTCTGCCCCAGCCTTCTCCTGCCCATGCACAGATGAACAATCCCAAGTCTGGCAACAGCCATCCCCCAACCTCTCTTGCTTTGTACAGTTCAGATCTAGCCAAACTCTCTCTTTTGGCATTGCAAAAGAACGCACATATTTCCCTCTGTATTTTTTCTGTCTGCTATCACGTCAGAGGGAATACAATTCCCATATATAGAGTAATCAGCAGTAGCACAGCCTTAACTGCCACTGCTTTTCTGGCAAAAGACTCCTTCCAGACCATAACCAAAGTATTTGCTGTATCCTTGCCGTCACCCTTTCCCACGCTGTGCTACTTTTTCCCTTGGCATCCATCAGGATCCCTAGCACTCTAATTTCACTCTCTCTTATTTAAAGGCCCAGCTTCTTCAAGACCCTCCAGTTCCCCACTCCCATTATGGTGCTTTTTAATCTATTTAGTCTAGTCCCTATCACTTCTCCACACACTGATATATGCTTTACATCCTTTCAATCAAAAGTCTGTCTTTAACTACTACGTTTATATCATCTATGTATAATACAAATTTAACCTGTCCCCCACCCAGTATCTTGACTCCACTTACAACCTTGTCTCTTCTTATTGTTTGTGCTAGCGGTTCCATGCCACACACAAATAGTAGTGGTGACAGGGGGCACCCTTGCCTCACTCCTGTATGGAGTTTAAAGGTTCCACTTAGATGTCCATTAATTTGGACTTGATTCTCCACTTTTCCATACAGTAGCCTTATCCAACATACAGATTTCTCTGGGAACCCCATTTTTCCTAGCACTTTGAATATGTAATCATAATCCACTCTGTCATATGCTTTTTCTCAATCTAGATTTGCTATAACTGTTTGTTTTCCTCTCTTGGGTGTGGGACAGTATATCTCTCTTCACTCTGATTGCTTTGGAGATCCCTCTACCTGGTACTGCGCATACTTGGTCTTCATGTATTATCTTCTGGAGGTTTTTCCTTATCCTCAAAGCCAGCATCATGGCTATTAACTTATAGTTCATATTAGGGAGTGTAATTGGTCCCCAGTTTTTCAGGAGTTCCTTCTCCCCTTTCTTGAAGAATAGGATCACAACACCTCTTGTAAAATCTTTCCCTGCTTCCCCCGTTTCCACTATTTCCTTGAAAACGTCCAATATATCCCTCCCTACCAATGAACAGAACTTCTTGTAAAATTCCATCTGGTGATTTCTCTCTTTTAAAGGTTTTTAAGCACTCCTAGAGTTTCTTTAAACTTATCTTTTTTTCCATCTTCTTTGCTTCCTCCTCCTCTTCTACTTTCTCATCAGTCTTCTCCAGCAAATTCTTCATCTTCTTCCTATTTCCTTCTTCTGATCTGGTTCTTCTCATTGCCTCTAACACCTCTTCCTGCTTCTCCAGCCGAGTACCACCTTCTTCCCACACTGCTTTTAATTCTCTTTTTGCCATCTTCACTCAAGCCAAAAAGTATCAGGACCACTCTTTGTTTTCTCCAATGACTTCTTCAGTGCTTGTGCTAAAAACATTTTCTCTCTCACCTTTCTTTTAAACCAGTATTATATCTCTTACCTTGTTTCTTCTAGTTCTTCTCATACCCATCCTCCTTCTGTCGCTTCCATTAGCAGCTCTTGCATCTTTCTTTGTAGCTCTCTCTGCTCTTTGGTTCTTTTCCCCACAATTTTTTGGCCTTCCTTCCTGAAGAATTCTCCCATCCTCTTCTTTACCATCATCCACCATTCTTTGGAATTCTTAAAATATTTCTTCAGTGTTCTCCACCCCTTATCCTGTCTTGCATATGCTTGATGTATCTCTTCATCTTGTAACAGTCTCATGTTTAACTTCCACATTCCCCCTCCCCTTACAGGGCTCCTACTAAGACTCAGTTCTGCCTTCAGCATCCAGTGATCACTAATTACTACAGATACGGTTTCTTTTTTCCTTATCTCTTTCTTTTGATACAAACACAAAGCCAGCTCTTGATAGTTTCTTTCTGCTGGGGTCAATATTAGTGAAAACTTTCTTCCCTGCCCACACCTCTAGTGACTCTTCTTTAATTATATTTGTTAACACTCTGGGTGAACTGTCTAAAGTTCCAACTCCTCCTTCCCCTGTTCTTTCACCCACTTCTATTGTGCAGTTGAAGTCCCCTGCTATTATTTGCGGTCTCCTTTCAAACACATAAACTGCTAGCTTTCTAAGCAGAGCCTTCTTCCTCTCCCACTCTGGTGGTGCATATTGAAAGTTTCTAATTCTGCTCCACTGATTGATATTATCATTTACTGCAGTTTGCCACTGATGATATCTTCTACCTGCTGAGCTTCACCTCTGGATTCTTCACCTCTGGATTCTTGAATAATATTGCCACTCCAGCCACTCTGTTCTCATTTGTCCCTGACCATCTAGATGGTCCCCATCTCCACCTCTTCTCAAAACGTTAGTAATCCATCCCCCAGTATACCACATTCTTGTAGGCAGATTATTTCTGCCTTCACTTGATTTAACATTGGTTTGACCTGTTCCTATCTTTTCCTTGGAAAGACACTCCTGGTATTTATTTAAACTATAATCCATGCAGCTGTGCTTATGTTAAACTGAGTGCACCTGTCCCTTTAAGGATCATCTGTGCCGATGCTCATCATAGATGACTCCACTTTCCACCCCCACCCTCCCTGCATGCCTGTTGCTCTTGCAAACTGCCTGACCGCTTTTCCAGGCAGGAAGACTTCTGTTTTCCCAGCTTCCTGCCACTTCCCACCACCTGCTCTCCACTCTAGGCTGGAGCCCAGGGGAGTTAATACCAAGAAGCTGTTCTCTGGCTCTGACTCCACCTCACCTCCCTCTTTATCAGGTTTCTTTTTCCTGACTTTCTGTCCCTGCACTTTCTTCTTTTTCCCTGCCTGTGTCTCTGGCTCTTTTCCTTGCTTCATCTCCAGTTCTGTTGTCTGCAAGATTTCTTTCTTTTTCCCCCACTTCCACGTCTTTTGATCCTTTGTTTGCTGTTCTCTCTTCCCCTTCCGTTTTGTTTCCAGTTCTTTCTTGTGCAGCCTCTATACAGAGATTCCACTTTCCTCTGTCTCCGTTTCTCCTCCCTGTGAAGTCCTCTCTAGCATTTCTATCTCAGTCTCTTCCCCCTCTTCTTCTTCACTGTCCCTTTCCAATTCTTGTGGTTCCTTGCCAAGTCTGACCTTGGTTCCAAAAGCTGTTGGGCACCTATGATACAAGTGTCCCTCCTCCCCACAAACAGTGCATTTTATGAACTCCTGGCACTCTGCTGCTCTGTGCTCCATTCCTTCATACCTGTAACACACTAGGAGGGGACAGTGTGCATCCAGGTGTCCTTCCTTTCTGCACCTACTACGTTGTTTCAGTTGCCTATAGTATATTATAAAACCCCGATGTGGCCCTATCTGGACTACCAATGGGAGGCCACCTGGGCTCCATTCATTTGGTTTCAACACCACTCGAGCCCTCCAAGACCCTGTCCAAATATTATATTTGTCCCTCACTTTCTCTACCTGCAGAACTCGTTGCACATACTTTTCCAGACACCTTTCTATGTCTTTTGCCTCTAATGTGTCTATATACATTCGGACAATAATT